AGATAAGGTCAATGTCATGGCCTGCAAATAGTCCGGATCTTAATCCAATTGAAAATCTTTGGTGGAAGTTGAAGAAAATGGTCCATGACAAGGCTCCAACCTGCAAAGCTGATCTGGCAACAGCAATCAGAGAAAGTTGGAGGCAGATTGATGAAGAATACCGTTTGTCACTCATTAAGTCCATGCCTCAGAGACTGCAAGCTGTTATATAAGACAGAGGTGGTGCAACAAAATACTAGTGATGTGTGGGAGCGTTCTTTTGTTGTTCATGATTCCATAATTTTTTCCTCAGAATTAAGTGATTCCATATTTTTTTCCCTCTGCTTGGTCTAAAAAAAACCGTTACTGACTGCACAATTTTTTTTCTTGATTTCTTATAGTGTTTCTTAAAACCAGAAAGTTGCCATTTAAAATGACTTTAGTTTTGTGTCATGTCTGTGATCTGCTTTTTTTCTACTAAGTTAAACAACTGAATGAACATCCTCCGAGGCCGGTGATTCCATAATTTTTGCCAGGGGTTGTAGGTATTCTCTAGTCGAATTAACGCTGAAATATCCTCCATTCTGGACGTTCAAATCACGCTGAAAACTAATTTAGAAGGAAAACAGCCACAGCGTCATTTTTACAAGGTAATTTTGCCGTAAATATACAACAATGAATGCTACTCATATCACATTGATAACTCATTAAGTTGAAGCAGAATGAAAAATTGTCAAAAAGAAATTCTCAATCAAAACAATTGCCAAGAATTACATACTGGTCGATGGCGCTTTGTCGGGGTAGCCAGGAGAGACGACCACTGCACCAGAGGTTGAGATGACGGAAGTGTACGGGGAGAACTGCTTTATCAGAGCATCTGTGTTTAAATGCAAGAGTTCAGCGACGATAATGTAAACGATTGATCAAAATTGTTTGCAAGGTGATGCGTCTATCATGTCTGCATCAGATCAAAGTTTATTGAAAGTCGAGAATTTATTTTCATGGCCGCTTGATCATCTACTTTCTGTAACATCCAAATATAAGATAGGTGTTAAAGATATCCCAGCAGTTGCCTGTCAAACCATTAGAGCCTGGCTTCGAGTCACAGCAGAGAATAATAAAATGAAACAGGAAAATACGAGTATCACTGTGATAGAAATAACGGATATACTGATGATCAATTCCACCGAAGCGTAAACACAATTTCCCAGCCCAAGAAAGGTGAAGACTCGTAGCGATGCATTTACAGACTTGTAGCGATGATGACTATAACCTATACGCAAGAGCTCGAAATCAAGCTAAAGAAAGCTGTCGCACCGCAGTAAAAACCCTCGAAAAAATATTGCTAATAAAATACTTGAAAAAAAAAACCTTTTTAAAAAAACCACGTTTTTCTTGTGGACTAAAAAGTAGAAAATAAATTATGGCTCGCCCCAAAAAACGTGTGTCGGGCAGATTTGTGAGTTAAAGCGAAAAGCACACAACACACGAATTTTGGAAATTTGATGGTGAACGTACAGCCCGACCCACGTTTTTTAGGGTAGGCCGCAATTTATTTTCTACTTTTTAGTCCACAAGAAAAACGTGGTTTTTT